ACCTGTCGTGGCGGCAACCTGAAAACCTGTTGGTGGACCCCAGCAGCGAAGAAAGCTATCAGGCTTGGTTGGCCGGGAGTCTTCTGAAGCATCTGATAGGTACCGGGAGGCCAAAAGAGCTGCAGCTCAGATGGTTGTGGATGCAAAAAACTGGAGTGTGGGAGGAGTTTGGGTAGGCTATGGAGAAGGACTTTCAGCTGACCTCAGGAAGGTTCTGGCAAAGCGTCCAATGGCTCAGAAAAGGAATTGAGTTTACTTCGCAGGGTGGCTGAACTTAGCCTTAAAGATTAGGTGTGAAGTTCGGACATCTGGAAGGGGCTTGGAGTAGAACCGCTGCTCTTCACTATGAAAGGAGCCAGTTGAGGTAGTTCGGGCATCCTATCAGGATGCCTGCAGGGCACCTCTCTTTGGAGGTTTTCTGGGCACATCCAACTGGTAAGAGAACCCAGGGTAGAGCCAGAACAAGCTGGAGACATTATATATTTCATCTGGCCCGGGAACACCTCAGAATCCTGCCAGAGGAGTTGGAAAATGTTACAGGGAAAAGGGACATTTGGACTACCTTGCTGAACCTGCTGCCACCGCGACCCTATCTCAGATAAGGGGAAGAAAATGGATGGACGGATAGATGGATGGATGAATATTAATATCAATATTATTCTTCATCACAACGAGAAAATAGCAGAAATATGCTTTTGAATATAACTGATTTATTAGTTTCTTTTCTTTAATGTTGCATCTGAGTCATTGGACTCAAGTTGGGAATTTGATTCCTAATATATTTTCCTGGAACTGCAATATGTGGCTTAAAATGTATATTTTCATGAAATACCACTGTGATTAAGAATGCATTTGTGTGTGTGTGTGTGTGTGTGTGTGTGCGCGCATGTAGTGCAGATGGGGTACAACTTTAAATACAACTGCAAAGCCTGTAGCCTACATCAAAAACATCAGTGAGTGTTTTCCTCTAAATCTGAATATCGATTGGCAGTAATACATGTGCATTACATGAAATTAAACATACCGATGAACAGGTCAAAGGGTGGTGTAAACTAATTTTGCATAATGACAAAGTAAAATAATGGGTTGCACTGCTTCACAAGCTGTATCACATTATTATTCTTTCCTTTACACCATGTGACAAATCCAACATTTGTATGGAGCAATGGCAGAGAATTTGGTTTTCAAATGAAATAAGAATTCCCAGGCTGATGTCAGTTAGATTGCCTAGATGGGTGGTTGCTTTAATCTTCAGAAGATGCTCTGACAGGTTTTGTGATGTTCACCTGCACTGATGCATGCCAGCACCTAGGGGCTGGTTGAAGTAAACAAGACAAACAAAAAAAAAAAAAACCCATAAGGTTTATGGTGCCAGAATCTTGTTATTGCACCACAGGAGTGCCAAATCCATAACCTTGTTGGCATGATGTTCCATTTTGGATTTTTTCCCTGTTCCCTGTGTGCATAGCCCAAGTTTTGCTGCTTTGCCTGTCACTTCAGTCCTCTAAATCAGAGACCTTCTGAAGATTTATTGACCTTTTGAAATGCTTAATGGGCATTTTAATTTTCATTTTATTGGAAATGTCTTACTTACATATAGTTTTATGCAAAATATGTGTCAGATTTTTATGTTACATTTTTTTCCCATGTATAAACAATACAATGATCTTCAAAGCTTAACTGTATTTTTAATGTCATATAAACAAACTCACAGTAGCGTGCTGCTGTATAGTGACTGCAGTCAGTCAAGAAGGCAGCCATGGCAGAAAAAAATGGCCGTGGCAATGTTAGAATGGCAGAATCAACAATTAATGGAAAGAATTCTGTGGAGTCAGTTTCAATCCCATGAACACATGCTTTGCTGTATTTGTGAGACCTTTCAATGTAGAAAATGTATTTTGTATGTACAATTCATGGGACTAGAAGTTTATATGGAGCATCATAAGCAACAGAAGTGTAGAACTCTCAGGTGAGTCAGACTCACCTGACCTCTCCTGGATCCTCAATAACCAACACGTCTGTCTTACAGCTGGCGATGGGGTTGATTGACAGTTCCACTGGTGGCACCACAAAGCTCTTGCTGACTGGCAACCACACCCCTTGGCCCAGACTGTAGAATGATCTGTGGTGGCATAACCAGAAGACATAAATGGTCAAACAAACCACTTTCACATGATCACTTTTTGTTAGCACAAACGAGAATATATTGTCCAGTATGTTGATGTATAAACATACGGGTGCAGGAATGAGCACCCTGAGTGTAGGCTTAACGTGGGTGCTGAGTACTGTACAGAAAGATAATAAGAACATTTTATTCCTGGCATATTGTTTATTATTTACTGCATATTGAGTGTATTTCATACAATAAAAATGGGTAGTGTTGTTGGCCTTGTATTTTCTCCTTGCATTCAGATTAATAAGAAAGTTCAGATATGACACTCAAGGGCTTCATATGAGGTTGATTTGGGAGGAGTCTGGGACACAGGAGTCTCAAGTAGACTGGAAGATTTGTGGTTTTCTCCTAGATTTGATATATTTCTTGCAATTTTACATGTTTAATGATTTCCAGGATTAAAATAAATGTAGAAACATTTCTGAATCATAACATTTACATTGAAATGATCACTGCAAACAATTTTTTAGGCTAAAATATATTTTTAAAATGCTGCCTATTTTTATGTTATTAATTGTTTAGAATATGCTCTTCTAGCTATGAAGGGTCATAGAAACTCATTTTGCCAATATAATTGGCTTTTGTGGCAATTCATTTAATTGCTATTTGCATTTGGTGCATCTATGGCACTGATGGAAATAGAATTGGATTTGGAGAAATACATTAGAAGAAGCAGTGGTACTCAGGCTTTTACAATACTAAAAAAAAAAATCCTTCTCTTCAAATGCAATGTGCTCCAGACAGTGCACTAGCATGTGTGCAAGATGTGTTGATGACCATTGCTCAATATGGTGAAAAAATAATTTGGTTTTTCCAGGGATGTTTCTCCAGGGTGAAGATTATTATCCTCAGAAGGACACCCTGCAGGGAGCCTAGGCTTGTCACATGGGGAAAAACAACACCTGTCAAGTCCTCACAAATAGCACAGAACAGGGCTGTGTGTGCTCTTAATGGAACTGAGCAGATGGGCAACAGGACTAAATTCTAGAAATCTAGAAACCAAGCTTGAATGGATTTGTTTGTCAGAAATCTTGGTATTGCATTTAATCAAATGCTCTCATTTGACTACCACAAGTGATATCACAAAAAAGCATGTTTTGTTTTCACCTTTGCAACATTATGTAAGTTTACCCATTGTTCATTATGGCTGACATCCAACCTGTCACACAATCCTTTCCATGCACAAGATCTGTTTTCTGGACTGCCTGTACAAAACTCTACTGCAAGTATATTAACTGAGATCAAAGAATCTGAATACCAATGTGAAACCAGTCCATATTACAATTAAACTCCTCTTTTCATTGCTGACACCAGCACTGCCCAGCTACTGTAAAGAGAAATGCTTTTCTCTTGTCACGCAGCACTGAAACCTTCCAACAGGAACCCACTTCAGGTTTCCACACACTTGCTGCATCTTTACTCACTTCGTCTGCTACCTGTATCAGTGTGTACATGGCTGAATATATCTGTGCTCTGCAACCCTCTGTGTGTATGCAGCTGTCTTTTCATTTTCCCTCTTCCCCATACTTCTGATGGTGGTTTGAACAAGCAGTTGACTTCCGCATTACTGGGTGTGAGTGCCACTATTCAAGTTCCATCTTCAACAGACTGCGTTTGACTGGACGTGGATAGCTGAAAGGTGGAATGTGTTTTTGTGTAGAACAAAAATTGTAGATTTATTGCCTAATTTCTTACAGCGGAGTCATGCTGAGACGTTAACTCTGCCCACAGTGAAAAGGAATGAGATTACTGAGACAAAGAGCTCTTCCTACCTACAGTATATAGTTAAGGGGTAGTGAGCATGAAATCAAGACAGACTTCAGAGAATAAAAGGGGTTTTTATGACTTTAGTTACACAACTAAATAGAACAGAACAAAACATCCAAAACAACATCAAAATGGTTACTTGTTTTGTTTGTTTGTTCTTGCTTAGTTTTGTTTTGTACAGTGTATGCACAATTATTATAGTGATTGATCCTATAATTTGTTTTCCCTGTAATTGCACAGCAGTTCCTAGTGAAATTTGTGATACTTGGATTAAAATTTTGATATATATAGTTTAAATGAGTAATAATAAAGAAAAGTCATCATTATAATTGATATAAATACATGGAAAACACAAAGTGGTGTTTTTGTTGTTTTCTGCTACTTTTTCATGAAATAGTCTCTCTCCACAGGGGATACTGGTTCAAAAGCAGGACCCATAGTCCCTGATTACATACAGGTAGGACAAATCCATTATGGCACATAACAGCTCCTAGTATAGTCTGTATTTTAGCACAGTAATATGTTTTGTACCCTCATATATTTAAAGCTCTCCACAAAGCCTTAGACTGTACTTCTCATCAACAGGATGGAGTATTTTGCTTGTATAAAAAAAGCCGTTGTCTGAAAATGAGTGTAACTTGCTAGGTCGGGTTGATCTGCCCTAGTTAAAGGGAAAAAAAGAGAATACTCCAGAAACAGAACAACAACAACAACACAAAATACAAATTTCAAGAAAAAAACTACACACACACACAAAACGAGATGGGATTATAAAACCCTTTTGAAAAAGAACAGCTGGGTGATAGAGAATGGGTCCTTAGAGTCTTGCACTTCTTGAAAAATGTCAGACACAATGACCCCATCAAGAATGAGAAGTGCAACAAAAATGGGCAGTAAAAGCATCTGAAAGAAGTTCAGCCAGGACTGCCCCTTGGGCTATGTCTCCACACAAGAGCCCATGGGGGAGGCTATCTGCAGCATGCTCATCTGTAGGTCCTGTCCCACGCACACACATGCCAAGAACACCACCGTCATTCCACCGTGTGCCCACAGAGCCACAGATGGTCGGCAGAAGCTGTGTTCTCAGGAGACACACAAGAAGTGACGGACTCACCTGAAAATCCGCTCTGGGGCCTGTTCTCCTGTAACTAGGTCATAGCCTTTCTCCAAGTTAGCGTAGGGCCAAGGACTTCACAGAGGACATAGAAGAGGGAACACCAAAATCAATTGTAGAAAATATGATTTGCTGTTTCATAACTTTACAACTGCTAGATACAAATAAAGCACAAAATCACAGCTCAAATCATTTGGTCAAAGTTTTGTTTCCAGTTGGACAAAATTGCCCTCTGTCAGCTGCTACTCCAACAAAAGTCTGAATGGAAATATGATCTGTGATTGAACTGAATCCAGTGGATGACAGGTGGAGCTGAATAACAATGTGACCTTTTAAATGAACTAATGTCTGTTCAAGCCAGCTAATTGTCAAATAAAGTCAGAGCCAGAAAAGGAACT